CCTGCACAAGACCCTGGAAGGGTGGGCCGCGAAAAATCCAGCGTCCCCCGTGTGCAGGTTCGTCGATGCGGGGTCGCAGGGAGGAGGGTCTGGAACAATGGAAAAATGTAAAAAAAAAATATTTGACCCCTGCGGGGGCGGCCCAACGTCGGTTGGATAAGGGCCTCGTTGGGGCGGGCCGTGCGGCCAGGCCGGGTCGAATCTAGACGGGGCTGCAGATGGCAGACCCCAGGCGGATCAGGGCCTCACGCACTGAAAGGTAGGCGTCGGTTTCATTCATGAGGGCGATGACAGTTCGTGGAATATTTTAAAACAACACATTCATGGCAATCATAAGTCAGATCCTGTTTGGCATACCAATGTCAAAACACATTGAAAATCAATCACAGTGCCGCAAACCACAAGTTTCAAACAATGATAACAGGCAAGTATGTCATAGTGTGTGTTCACTCATGAGACTGATGGACATTCATTAGCACATCATTTATGTAAGAACACATTTATTAGCACATCATCCCTATGTCACATCTGAAATTAACAGCACATTCATAATGGAGGCATCCATGACATGCAGGTGCGTGGCATCGGAGAAGCACATAATTTGCAACAATCACGACAACAGAGCAAAAAACAATCACCAAACAACAGCGACTCAGATGCAAGACCAATGTTGGCGGCGGAACAAGAACAACGGAAATGCGTATGTACAAGGTTGAAGCCAAAAACTGGACCCGTAGTCTCTACTGTACAACCGAGTAGCAAAAAAAATCCGGACCCATCGTCTCTGCTACACAACAGAGTAGCAAAAAAATACTGGACCCGTCGTCTCTACTGTACAACCGAGTAGCAAAAAAAAACTGGACCCATCATCTCTACTACACAACAGAGTAGCAAAAAAAAACTGGACCCGTCGACGGGCGTCGTCTCTACTGTACAACCGCGTAGCAAAAAAAAAAAAGAAAACCCTAATGTCCACATACTGTCGCCATCTCCCACCAGAGTAGAAAAAAAAAAATACACCACGGACGTCGTCATCTCCCACCAGAGCGATCGCAGTCTCTCCCGGAGGACGGGCGGCCATGCGGTCCTCCCCGGCGCCCTCCTCTCCCTCCGACACATGTGCCCCGTGCCCCGCTGACGTATGCCGCATGTGCTGTAGCGGCCGCCGCGGCCACCCATGCCCTGTGTCTGCGGGCCGCTGTCTCGATCGGCTCGGACTCAGTGTCTGCGTCCTCGTCCTCCTCCGCCTGTGCAGCAATCCCCCTCTCTCTCTCCCTCTGAATCACGTCCAATGCTGCCTGCCCAGTGGCGAACCCTGCAGCGAGTCGAGCCACAACCTCCGAGAGGCCATGCTGTCGTCTCGTCCCGGGACGCATCAACAACCCCTCCTCGCCTGATGTGAACTGCTCTCCCCGCAGCCTGTCCGTGGATGTCCCTGCGGCCTTGAGGACCAACGATCTCCTCGTCTCCGCTCGTGACAAACCAAGCATGCGGCCTGCCATCTGCAGGCTCGGACGTCCGGACCCACCTTCCGCAGCCTGCGTCTGAACAGTCGTACGTCCCGTGAAGACGCCCCTCCCGGCATCGTAATCCGCCCGCAACCGGTCCCCGACCCGACGAACAGCTGACCATCCGCCACCCACACCACCTCGGACTGTCGGTGGGGAACCACCACTGTGCGCAACTCCGGGTGCCGCTGCCCCGTCCCCGGTGTCGACCCTGGCCTCCGGAGTCCGTGCGGGCGGTGGAGGCATCGATCCTGCACTATCTCTACCGCCGCCGCTGCGTCTGCCGGACCCCACCTCACCCGCACCGGACTCCCTCCCTCTCACGCCGTTGAGCGACGAACCCGACTAGTGAGGGCTCAGCACCACGAACGACGGTGGTGAATATACCCTCCCAGGGGCCCGCTGCTTGCCGCTCTTGCGGCTCACGTGTGCGAAACGGTCATCTGTCAACGCTTGCGCCAAAGCGTCGACGTCGAAGAAAGTGTGCGCTGTGTCCTCAGGGCGCAAGGGAGGCACTGTGGGGTCCCTCAACACCAAGGCGAGCCTATACGGATCGTCCTCGGGACCGTGGTCGTCATCATCGTCGTCGTCCGGTCCATCGTCTCCACCGACACCCGCGGTATCCCCATCCCCACCGGGTCCACCCTCTCCTCTGCCACACACTGCGGCAACCTGTCCCTCATCACCCGCGGTCTCGCTGTCGCCACAGCCCCCACTAGGGGACCCACCGCCCATGACAACATCCTGCCCCTCAGGGACACCCGCGGTCTCTTCGTCGCCGCGTCGTCCACCACCTGACCCACCACCCGCGGCGGCAGCCTGCCCCTCATAATCGAACTCCCCTTGAACCGCCTCCTCAGGGACACCCGAGTCGTCGACGTCACGGCTCCCCCCCCCTCCTGTCTCCAAGTCCCTCTGCGGACGTTGCTCGTCGAGATACGCGAACCGACCCTCCCACTGTGGCAAACTCCTCAGCCGCTCCTCCTCCTCTCGGTCCAAACGGGCATCCCTCTCCTCCTCAGTCTCAACAGGGCCCCGCTCAACGTCCGCGTCTGTGCGCACCTCCTGCGGTGAGGCACGTCGACGTCCCTCGACACAGAAATCTCCCAAGCTCCCGCCAAGCCCTACGACGTCGAAGTCCTGTGTGCGGAGCACCGACGGTGAGCAGGGGCGGATACCGGCGTCGGAAGGAGTCCTCTCCCCCCCACGATCCTTGCCGTCATGTGTCCGGTCTCTGCCTGCTGCCGACGCCAACCTCTCCGAACGCCTAAGTGCCTCGGGCTGTGCAAAGATCGGATGATGGGAGGGAGAGAAACGACGATCGCGAAGGGGCACCTCCTCATCCTCGGCCTCCCCCTCGGCCTCGTTGTCGCTCCTAACCTCCCAACGCCTGCCTGTCTGCCGAAGACCGCCCCGTGGCTGCTGCTCCCCCGAGTCGTCCACGCGAACCTCCGCATGCGAACGTCCTCCATGACCACCGCCGGTTCTGCTGCTGCCACTCGCCTGCGTGGTCGATGGCACATCACCAGTGATAACTGATGCGAATGAATCCATGCCGTCACGACCCCCACCGTAAGTGAAGTACACTCGCTCAGCCATCGGGTCGCGACTCAGCAGCGTGTCATCATCGTTAGTCCAGTCGTCGTCGATGTCGTCGTCTGCCGCAGCAGCGTCCACATCATCCCCACCCTCCGACCACGGTCGGCAGCTCCGTTGCTCTGCTGCCGAACACGTCCCGAACCGAACGGGCTCTGGACGGTCGGCTGTCATGGAAAGTGACTATCTGCCGCTGGATCTCCTGCTCGAGAACACTGCCATCAGGTCGCGCTCCCCACACCTCGTGCTCCACATCTCCCTCCTCATCCTCCTCCTCTGCCGCCGTCCCCCCCCGACCGGTCCCCATAACCCATGGCAACACGTAGCCACCACCCTGCCGTGCGCACGAGGCCAGTTTGAGATTGGTGGCAATCTCAACCAGCTGTGCAAGCTTGGCAAACCCAAGCTTGCAACGCCTCGCCGTGCTGACGCGCTCGTGCTCCGCCCAGTTCCTCTCCGCTGGAGAGGCGGACGTCCACAAGTGCATGACACGGATGGCGATGGTGCGCAACTCCGGGTGGGCACGTCCATGCTCAAACCACCACGCTGCACATCGCTCGGTCTCGCTGTCCCCCCTGCAATCGGCCGCCTCAGCATCGGAGAGGTCACGATCTCCCCAATCCCCTCGCCTTGAGTGGAACGCCCTCATCTAGTCCCTCACGCTCCTGTACAATAAGCCAACCAGATCGCCGCCGATCTGCGCTAGGAGAAATCTGTCGCACTCCTCGACCACATGGCGGTCGTCGGCGGTCGTCTCCAGAGAATGGTAATACGTGAGGGACCGTCGACGAGTGTTGAGGAGGTGGGCCGCGACATGTGCGGGCTCTAGCATGTGGAGGTTGCGGATGGCAACCTCACGCACACGGCTCGATCATGTCGGTCGGCACGTCGACCCTCCTCATCAATTGCAGCAGATGCCGACTCCACTTGTAAACGACGGACATCATCATCCCCCCTCTATCCATCCTGCGCAACAGCTGGTGGACAGGCGCCATGACTAGGATGGCGTACTGGACACGCTGCCAAGACTCCCCGTCCCGGATCTGCTGTTGCACCCACTGCGCCTGAGATACGTGGGCACGATCCCACGGGATGTGTGCCCAAGCATCCCCGTGCAACATGCTCTCCAACGCGTCTCGTCGGCCTTTGAGACACGTCAGCATCAGGAAAACCGATGCAAACCGTGTCTCAACGGGCTCGACGAGCTGAACGCGAGGGCTCACCTTCCTAAACAGGGTGTGAGCAGCGCCGTGTGATTTAATAAATCGCACAAGCGCTCGAGCGCGGATGATGGTCTCCTTGACCCACCCACTCGCATCCCGATATCTGACAACATCAAGTTGCAGACATGGGTGGAGCAGGGGAGCCAAGTGATCCTCCTGATGTCAGGCTCGGGGTCTGTGGCGAACCTGCGCGCCGCCGCCATATAGTTACTGGCGGAGTCTGTGCAGAAGTCGATCACGTCCTTTGCAAGAAAGGACAAGATGATGGCCCGCCACCTACGGTATACGACGTCCGCTATGTCTCGGACCGACCCGTCACGTGCGACGGTGGCGTATAGCAGGGCGCCATTGGCGCCCCCGGCGAGGAAGTTCACGAGCGGCTTGCCGCTGCGTGACTTCCTCCCGTCGGAGAGGATGGTGGCACCGCTGTGCCGGAAAGTGGCGCGCACCTCACTCACCATCGTCGCTACCTTCGCCTTCTGCGAAGGGATATCGGCGCCCGCTGTAACCCTGTAGGAGGGAAACCGGAACTGGATAGAGCGAGGCACTCTCTCTGCTGCCTGCCGCACCCTCTGGAACTCCGGACCACGGAAGGCGTTGAATGGCAACTTCTTCACGTAGATCCACTGAAGCCACGCGTCTGAGAACTCGGCCAACTTCTCCCTGGCGTACATCTCGTCAATCGTGGTCTGTCGAGCCCTCTTCTCTCTGCCCGTGTCTGGCACCTCGACGCCAGATTTCCCCACTGACCTCTTCTCCCTCCTCGCTCGCTCCAACTCAGGTCGCGACGCTCTAGTAGCAGGACCCGCTCGACCGACGCCTCTCGACATCGTCACCACCTCCTCCCCTGGCAGGTTAGGCTCTCCGACTGCCTCGTATGCCTCGTCTCCAACCCCCGTTTCCCTGGCCCCACCCTCACGGCCCTCCTCCTCATCGAGGGCGTCCTGACTGTCGTTCCTCTTTGCGTCGTCCATCCGCTGTCTCTGGCCACCCGCGGGCGCTCTCGTGTCCCGTATGCCCTCGTCTGCCATCCACCTCTGCACCCGCTGAGCAGTGGACGGCACGAATGTGTAGTCCGTGCCGTTCCAGAGTTCCGCGAGAACTATCATCCCCCCAGCCTTTCAGAACTTCGACTGCGTGAAATGACGCGCGGCCTTCGACGACCCCCCTTGAAACAGGTGGCCGCATAAGTTGTAACGCAACTTTCGGTCCCCGTGCATCTTGGACTGGTCCCCGACGTACTGGCCGGCGGTGACGAAGTTCCAAACAATGTTCCCTCGCCTCAACTTCGCCATCTCGTTCCCGGACAGCGGGTTGAAGTTGGCACCCCCAGACCCCCCCGCACGGCTGCTCCCTGCACCGCCCATCATCGCCCCCCCAGCAGGATCCAACAAGTCGTGGCCTCGATCTTGGATGTTGTCTGACCGTGCCGCACAGTCGATGTAGCGTCCCCTCGATGTCGCTGCACCCTGACGTCCCCGCCGCTCCTGCCGCCGCTCCTGCCGCCGCGTCCCCTTGATGTCGCGCAAGCCCATGGTCCACTAGCACCCCGGCCGACCGCCCAGCAGCGTGCCACAGAGGTGGGCAGCCCTGCCCGGCCGCCCTCGGCCGTGATCGGCCTCAATCGGCCATAATCGGCCGTGTCCGGCCGCGTTCAACCGTGTTCGGCCTTGCCCGGCCACGGCCGGGCACTAAAATGGCCGCGCGCTGGAAAACGACGCGCACGGCGATGGCGACGGCCGTGCGGTGGCCGCTGGGCGGCGCGGGGCCGCTGTCCCTCGTGCTCGCGCGGCGCACGCCGCTGCAGGGTGCGCAGGAAGAAGAAGAAGAAGAAGAAGAAGAAGAAGAAGAAGAAGAAGAAGAAGATCTCTCTCTCTCTCTCTCTCTCTCTCTCTCTCAAGAGTCTCTCTCTCTCTCTCTCTCTCTCTCTCT